GATGGATGCTGCTGAGACGTAGATACCGATCCGAAACAACAGCTCTTCACGCTTGTAGAAGGTGCTCAGGAAAAACGCCATGCCCGGCATCGCGCCTCCTTCGAATACTCCCAGCACGGCGCGGGCGCCCATTAATCCGCCAAAATTGGTGACGAAGGCCGTGCAGAGGGAGACTAAACCAAAACCGCAGACGAGAAACGGGAGGTAGAATCGGGGGCCGATGGCTTTGAGCAAGACATTGCTGGGGACTTCGAACAACAGGTAGATGATGTAGAAGATGGACAAAGCCCAGTTGAATTGCATCCCCTGGAGGTTCAAGTCCTTGGCGAGACCTTGGATGCGCGCGTTGCCGATGTTGACGCGATCGAGGAAGCAGAGCATGTAGAGGACTGTCACGATGGGGACACAGTGCCAGTCGATCTTGCGCCGGATGGCGCGCTCTTCGTCGTCGGTCCAGGTGAGCTCGGGGAGGGATGTGTTGGAGGAGTCGGCGTCTTTGTTGGTTTGCTCATGGTGGAGGGCTGGGTGGGTTTGTTAGAGAGGAAGTTAAAGATGGGATGGGATGAGTGTCGTGAAGAGGTGAATATGGTTGGTGAAGATGATGTGAAGAACAATGTGAAGGGTTTACGTACCAATCTCCTTCTCTAGGACCCCCGTCGTGATGGGGTCCCCCATTGTGACGGACATGATTGATGAGGTCGACTTGAACGAACTTCAATGGTTGAACCCTTTATGGCAGAATATGATTGTCGATGTCCAAGGGTATATAAGACAAAGACAAAGACCAGACGGCTAAGTGGATAACTGAGACGGCGGGTCTACCCCTTATTATGAAGAACAATGGTCGGAGAGAAGAACCCAAAGAAGAACAACGGATATCTGCTCCGGTGGTTCACGGGATGACTCCCGTTGCCAACCCAACGCTAGACGAAAAGCTTTTTGCGCGAAACTGCAAGTAACCCGCATCAAATTAGTTTAGGAAGGTTGAACCCACACTAAAAGGCCCAAAGGCGTGCATCGACTAGTGACAAGGTTGGGAATAGTATGGGATATGATATCCAGATCGTTCTCCAGTTGAATTGGTCGATAAGACTTGAAGGAGTCAGGTTTAGGAAGGACCCCTTTGTGTAGCGTGGTATAACTTATATACCATCCACACGACCAGCTTCCTGCTTCTGGTTGTTGGGTCCCCTTTTCTGTCACACCTTGTTGTTAACCGACTTTATCTGTCAGTTCCCGTCTTTGCGGTTTTCACGCCAGACCCGTACATTTACTGGATATTACCTGGGGGGCCGCAACATTGGGAATACTACAATATGTGGCACGCAAACGTTGTGTAGCTGTGCATTAGTTGTTACATTCTTTTTTGCGTCTGCCGTCCGTCTCTTCACCATCACAAGCTGTTCAGGCTGTTGGCTGGCTTCACTTCAGTCTCTTCTTCTCCCCTCCATGTCCGCTTGAGAATAACCGGTACATAATGTGTTCGCCGTAAGAATGTTGGGCGGTGGCGTTAACCGACAGCACACCCTCCATGAGTGTCTGTCCAACCGCACGAATGAAGCATTTTTGGAGCATTTTCGGCAAATGCATTTTGGTGTCCTTTCCCCAAGTTCCCCAGTTCCCCGCGGCGCAAAAGGGGGCTAGCAGTCAAAGCCAAGGGGCGCCAAGCTATCCGAGGCCGGATTGCCAAGGGCGGTATTGGCGAGTTGGGTGGTGAATGCATCGACGGAATGGCAGGAATGGGTGGCCGAACCACGAGGGC